AGAGTGGGTGGGGGTGGGAGACCCCCCCAATCAGCCCCCCCCCCCGTTTGAAGCCCACCTAAAAAAAAAAAAAAAAAAAAAAAAAAACGTTTTCAATGAAAGAATGAAAGATGAAAGATTTTAGCCAATGAAAACCCAGTCTACTTTGGACAATTTTGGACAATCAAATTTCAATGACTGTCTCTTGTACAAGTAGCTGCACCCCCCCCACCCCCCACAACCTGTTCTCCACTCGTTTCTATCTACATTGTTACATTACAAAGGTTTTAAAAGATAAAAGTTATGTTTTGCTACAAATACTTGTTACTTGAGCTTCTTATATTGACATGTCTCGGATGAAAAAATGAGGGAGATTAGCCAGTTTACACAGTTCTGGGCTTTATACCAAATCCTGGAGTAATTTGCGGCCATGTGCACTGCAGAGTTTTACAAGTTAGAGATTATTAATAACATTCCAAACAAGCTTAAATCCAAGTAAAAGCTCTTTGTGCTGGCGTTAAAGAGGCTTTTATTTGGCAAGGCAGTGAACAGCGAATTCAACATGGGTTTGTAAGTTAAAGATTCTCCCAAATGTGGAGACACCAAAGCATTCACTGTGTAGAGTCTCAGTATTAAGAGATGGAAACAAAGAACACAAATACATTCTGAAGCACATGATGGAAGAAGAGTGTGAGCCAGTGAGTCAGAACTAAACATTTCCCCTTTCACTACAGACCAGTGTTTTAAATGATTTCCCGGCTGAACTGTGACAACTTCCTTAAAGTTTGGCATACAAAGTTGAACTTCATGTATCAGTTATGGCAGTTTAATATATAAAAGGCTTCACACGTGACATTGTGTTAAATTGCTACATTCAGCCACTTCATTGACCCGTCAATGTCCAACTTCCTTAACTCCTGACAGCAAATCCAAACATTACCTGCAGATATTAGCATTAAAATGACTTTGTATCATCAACACCCACGGACTCCGTACCCTTGAAACCAATGTGACTGCTTCCAATTTTACGTTGAAAATGAGAAATCCACGCCTCCTTCAGGGACCAACGGACGTTTGAATTCAATTTACCAAAGATCAAAGAGTTATTGGTGTAAACTCTGCACTTTGCTGCTACTGTGTGAGGTTGCTTTGATATAATGCCCTCTCTGGGGCAGATGCCTCTAGTGGGTAAACTGCACGAATACTAATGATTATAAATAGATGGGATAAGGTGGGGCCCTGGAGGAATAATGATATTTTTAAAGTTGAACAAAGGCAAATTAAACTGTAATCGGCAAATGTTGCTTTGAAACACCATAGAATGTTTTCTCATTTTAACAAGACAAGCAACTTTGGCTCGACAATTACAATGGACAAAAGATAAACAGTAAGTCACTAAAACAGAGAAGTCTAATTTCCCTAAAACACATTTATTGGTGTCATTTCATTAAATGTCTACTTAAGTAAAACAATGTATTTTGTGTGTGTAAATGTGTGTGTGTGTGTTGTGTGTGTGCTGCTGACAACAGGTCACTCATCATTATGGTGTGTAACAGCCACATGGGTCTGGATACCCTTGCTCAAAGGCAGTCAGTGGCAGCATCAGGACCCAGGGATTAAAATATATAAACTGAACAAAAGCTTTATCGTCTCAACTCCTCAACCGCTTCCTGCTGCTCTGTGGCCCCATCTACCTGCAGGACATGTTTAACACAAAAGCAGGGACGTTTGCTGTCAGGGATCAGAACCATGCCAAATGTCACGTCATCATGAATGGCTCCATCAATACAATGAATTGAGTTGATGTGGTGTTTTAAAATTAGAAGACAAGATTACCAGGTTTGAAGTTAATGCCTCTCAGGCATAACGATAATTCCAGGCTGTCAAACTTACAATTTCTAACACACTTATATCCAGTCATTCCACCATCCATCCCCTTAGTGATGCTCCAATACACAGTCAATGCACGTCATCTACACTAATATGGGAACAAGGTTTTTGTTTCACTGCAGCTTAAAATACCATCTGAAGCATGCATTTGTAGAGGCTTCAACTTCAGGTCAAACCAGAGTTTGCATCCAACCAGCTGTGAGGTCTGTGTGTCTGTCTGCTGGGTTAATTAGTGTGATCACACTCACCTGTGTCTCTGTTCATTAGTCTCACTCCTGTCACCTGGTGCCCTGGGTATATATATCTCTCTCTCCCACTGAGTCCTTGTTTGTTCGTTGTTCATACAATGCCATGTTCACGCTTAGTGTTTAGTTCCTCTGTGTTTCTGCTCTTCAAATCCAGTAAGTGGAGACATTTAAGTTTGATAAAAAATAACTTACTAATAAAATAACTAATAACTCCAAGCATGAAAATGTAACACCTGTAGACTAATCAATATTGTTGAGTTCTTTGAGCCACCGTCAAGCTAAACATTAAAGTCCATATCGTGTTAGTCATTGGCCTTTTGATTCGTCTTTTGTTTCAGTACTATATATATAATACATTGTCATGTTTAGCAATATTGATTCATCACAATTATTTACGATTAATCCAGCTATTTTGTAATTGTGTTAAGTACGTTGGTATAGAGTTTAAATGTTGTGCTTGGGTTTCCTTCAGATACTTTGTAACCTATAACCTTCAGATACATGTATTTCTTTCACAGTTCAACATTATGCACATCAGGTTCATTAGACTCTGAATTTAGCAAGGGGTTGTTTGTCTCTGAATGGCCCAAAGTCAGGCCTGGAAACTATCCATGCACCCATGGGACCCTCGTCACCCACGCTGAGATTAGTGTATTTCCACGACCAAGGAAATATTAACAGAACAGAATTAACAGTTATTATATTAAAATACCCTTATTAGGGCAATTAAAAAAAGTTAAAACACTATTGTGCAACAAGACGATCACATCTTAGTATTCAATTATCTCCCTGCAGGTGCACTGTTTTCCTTAGATGTTGAGAACTTAAAAGGTACAGTAATTAAAGCAAAAATGAACTACACACAGAAATACAGACGCTACACTAATCTCCCTCCACTAGTGACTAGTTCCCTTGTTGTATGGTTGAGTGAGTGACAATAACATTGATAATTTGCCTCTAGTCCATGCAAGCTCCTCCAGGTGGCTGTCGCCACATTTGTTGTGTGGGTAGGGTGGTCCAGTGGTTGGTCTCCACAGCCAGAGGTACATACATAAAGGGCAGTAAAAAAAAAAACAGCAGTTGTGGCTCGAAACTGAAACTCTAAAAGAGTGGGATTCAGGAGCAGAAAATGTGTGTTGGGTTGGTTTCACATTTGAATTAAGGTTCTACTTGTAGAGCTTCATTGTACAGAGTGGCTTTGGGTGATAAAGTGGCTAATATTCCTACTAGGAACACATTCTCTTCTTCATGTACCGCGTTGACCTGATCAAGCTAGGTCTGTGCTGCTTTACTGTAAGCCTACTGAAGGTACTTGATACTGGTATGCAGTTGGAAAAGTTCAAGAACCACAGACATAACTTGCTAAACTGGCAAACAACGAGCACAATGCTACAATATAGCGTTCACTACAATATGTAATAAAAATTTGAATTAAAGTGGCGTTATTTCATGAATGCACCACATTGATCTGCATTTCCTGACCAGCTCAGTGAAATCCAATAATGCAACAGCAAGTGGAAACACTGACCTCTCAGATCCACAACGACCTAATTGCTTCTGCTGCAGACTCCTACAGCTACTCGATAACATGTGAAGAGAAGCTGCTTCACTGTGGTAACAAAAAAAAACCCACATCATTAATTATCACAGCAGGTGGAGGGACAGCAGCAGCATGGATCAGAGAGATCAGTGCACCTGTTCTGTACAGCTTTTGTTGGTGTGGGCACACAAAAACACCTGTGTGGGAAATGGGCCGCTTTAAAGGGCAAATAATGCCGTAATCCCAGATGACAAGCTTGTTTGTATAAGCCAGTAACAAACATGTTTACTTGCAGGTATGGAGGAAATATGGACGACCTATTGGCTGTGATGTTTGAAGCCGTAATGTGTTTGGTCTGTGCTTGGCTGTAGCACGTAGTGAGTAGTGATTGAGCTGTGACACGCAGCCTGAAATCAAGCATCAGTTTATCTATTCATAGTGATCCCACAATGATCTGGTAATGATGATAAATATCACTCCTGGTTGAGGTATAGAAAACGGAATCAATGGGTGTTGCGTCAAAGGCTAAAAAAATGGAGTGACAGATACGGTACTGCCGGGAGTGAGTGAGTGAGTGAGCGGGACGTTGTTTTAGTTTTATTATACCACACTTCTGCTTCCTTTTCATTTTCTCTTCCATTACCGACAACAGATGACAGAGTATACAGCTGTGAAAATACTACAGACACACATATAAACAGAGGTATATTGAAATGACACTATTAGAGGAGATGAATGAAGCGAAGAATGCGTTCCAGTCGTTGATCACGATTTGGCAGATATTCTTTCAGTGTCTAATGATTATTCTTTTATCTTTAGGCCCGGATGCACTTTATTATCTGTTGTCTGTCTGCAGCGGCAAAGCAGGAATCAGCGACTCAGGGGCTCAGGAGGTGAATATACTGCAACAACTTCATCACCTTCAACAGGTAAATGATATGATATGAGGAGCAGATGTGCCAAAATGTGTTTGCTGTTTTGTTTGATAGATGTCCATACCCTCTGGGGTAGAAAACCTGATCGAGACTTTAATTTACTTGACAAGGATATATAACTAAAATGTGTCATAGCTGCTGGATCTCCATGATAGAAGAGTATCAATGAGTAGTCCTTGACTTGAGCACCTTTGCAAGAGTGATGTCTGTCTTAGAACTTTCTGACTAAGACTTTTCACTTGGTGAAATTCCATCCATTGGTTTAATGGATGGAATTTCACCATCCATTAAATATGGAACATATGAGTTCATATGTTTCATATAAACTCATATGTTCATATGAAACATATGAGTTTTCAGCTCACCGCTGTATTTTTATTTCTATCTTTTGTTCAAGTATGAGTTTCATTGTTTACTGACTGAGTGAAAAGTAAAACAGTTGCCTGCAGACATCACAACTCACACAGACTAAAGAACAGAGCATTCACAGGCAGCTTAAACTAACTGGTTTAACCTGCACAAAAACAAGATCACCTGCTAATTTTATCACAAAGATTATAGTTCCAGTTACACACCACCACCTGTAGGTGGAATACTGAACAGTTGAATGCTGCACCCAATGAAACGTGAAAAAGCAATCTGAAAAATGAATTAATTCATAAAGAAATCTTAATTGTAGGCTTCACACCATGTGGACAATGCTGTGATGGCACAAGTCTGAAAAAGGAGTTGCTTGTCTGCCTGTGAATAGCCAGTGATGTAAGCACCTGCCCTCTGTGAAATGCCAAGCTCCACTAAAGCAACTTAAATTCAAACTCTTTTCCTTTTTGAAATTGTAACAATTGTGCAATGGTCTGTACACACTGTCATGCTGCAATTAATCACGTCGGTGTCAAAGGGGGTGAGGCGGTAATTTCCATGTTGGCAGAATGAATGAGAAAGAAGTGGGAGAAAAGGGCATAGAAACAGGAGGGAGGCAGATAGAAAGATCCTGGCCATGACTTAATCAGCTTCCCTTCTTATTATTAACTGTCATTATGTTGCCTCTTTTCAATCAGCGCTTTCTTGTACTCTGAAGATGTTCTAATGAGTGGCACCAAGAAGCTATTACTGATATGCTGTGCTTCAACGGCGCCTCATGTCGACAGATCTTGAAACATAATGCTAGACCCTTTTAGTGCTTAAAAGCCATTATGTGCGAAGTTCTCCTAAAGCTGCACTTGGGTAATTTGACATATTCAACTTCCACATTTAAATGTAAAAGGCTGCTCTCTTTCTTTAAGAAGAAAGGTGGAGCTGCAACGCCACTGAAGTCAACCAATCAGCTCATAAAAACTAGAGACCCCCGACTATCAGAAAAGTCGTGCTCTATCCGCTTTCTTTTGTCTACAACTAGTAGAGTGTATACATATACACATGTATATATATATTTTTCTTTTCTTTTTTTTTAGAGTTTTAGATTGTGTATAATCGTGAACGTTCAGAATGTTGCCGGGTTGTCTGAAATGCTGCAGGCCCATATTGTGAGACATCAATTGAATAATTAAAGAAGAGTTATTTTGGTGCTTAATTTTTCACTGGATCTTGCTAGAAGCTGTGTAGTAATATTATGACCCAATACTTAATTCACTTTGTACACTGGGTGAAATGAAGGAAATGGCAGATCTACTTAAATCTTTGATCAATTAAAAGATATGTGAAACCAACAAGAGGACCAGAGGCAGCATACTGCTCTTTTACATGTCCAAAAACAAAATAAATAAAATGAAAACATGACTGTCACCTATGAATT